TGAGGAGCAGGACGAGGATTAGTAAAATCACCGTGGCGATATCCATTATTTTGATATACATGTAAATTTGATTTATTATCTAGTTGCACATTATAATTATTAAGATTTTCGGCGTATTGTGAAGATTGTTGTGGAGGACCAGTAGGAGATGAACTCATCGGTAACCTTTCCATACTCTGCTTATGTTGAATTTGTCGAACACCACCAGCAGGTGATGGAGATTGTTTTCGATGGTTATCCATGTTACGTGACTGAGGAGAATTAGACCTGTTCATTCGATCCATATGCATTACTTGTTCTGGAGTAGATACTCTGCCATTCATATCATTATCGGCTTGTGTGTTAGGACCGCCTACACGTGGAGAAGAATTTCCAGTACGATTTGGAGAAGTACTAGGGCCACGAGGACTCACTTTTTAAAGAAATTTAAGGTATAAACCAATTTTAAATTTTTATACAACATAAAATTAATTGCCATTAAAGCCAGTTTCTAATATTTGATTTTGTTTACCTGACATTGGAATTGTCGTTGGTGAAGGGGTTGATCGATTATGTTCCGTCATTGGAGGTAATGGAAAGCCTGTATACTGTTGAAATTCCTGCTGATTTCTTGGTGCAGTTATTGGTTGTTGTTGTTGTGGATATCCATGTTGTTGTTGAGGATGTTGAGGATATCCTTGTTGTTGTTGTTGTGGAGAATATCCCTGCTGTTGTTGTTGTGGAGGATGTCCCTGCTGCTGTTGTTGTGGAGGATGTCCCTGTTGTACTTGTTGTGGATTGGCGTTCTGTGTGACCGGAGGATATTTTATTTTAGCTGTTTATAATGATAGTAGGAAATTAGTAAAATCATATTTATTATTTATTTATTATTATTTTTTTTTTTAAAAAAAAATTGATATAAATAATTACATGTATCCAATATGTGAATTATGCCATCTTCATCAGGCCTTGCTCCTTGCGTGGATTCACCACCGAAAACTATAATTTTCTCTTTCGCAGTGGTCATTGTGAGATGATATCTCGAATTTGGCGAAGGACCCATTTTTTGAAACATATACCATCTTTGATCTAAATATTATGCAAGATTATTTACAAAATCAAAATATCAATTATTATTAAATTATATTCTTAATACATGTCCACAAAATCAAAATAATTATTATTATTAAATTATATTCTTACTTACTACTTATCCTAAATGCAGTCAAATCTCCTAATTCTTTTCCATCTTGCGTCATACCGCCAAATACATATATGACATCATCCACAATGGCAGCACCATGAAACTTCCGAGCCGATGGAATGAAACCAATGCAGGACAATTCTGTCCATGTATTAGTACGTGGATCAAAACACCACATATCATTAAAACATCTATGCGCATCATTTCCACCAAACCTATTGAAGGAAGTGTTAAACAGTTAAAACAAAAAAAAAAAAAAAAAAAAAACAATGAATTTTAAAATAACACTTACATATAAATCTTATCATTATACACGCATGATATATGAGCCATTCTTCCTGGAGGAGATTGACTTGCTGGAGTAATAAATTCCCAACCAGCACCGTTTGCCATATCTGTATACGTAAATGAGTAAATAAATATATATATAATTACATTCAAGTATAAAACTATAAAAACATTCATAGAACTCACACGTGTTCACATCAAATGCCAACAAATCATTTAAATAATATCCTTCGAATCGACCACCAAATATATACATTTTTGATCCGATAACAGCCACAGAATGTCCATATCGACCAATTGGTGATGTACCATTCACAGTAATTCTACTCCATCTTTTTGTTACTATAGTAAAGAAATTGAAGAACAAAAATAAATCAAATTTACATGTATATCAAAATAATGGATATCGCCACGGTGATTTTACTAATCCTCGTCCTGCTCCTCA